GTATTTATCTTTAATGTTTTAGTCCCATCAATGAAATTCTAGCAGCTTACTTTTGGTTCTATTAAACAAATATAATTAGGAGTAGATATGACAGAATTAATCAGAAATTGTGATTCTATCTTCTGAACAGTCATCTGAAAAGAATGTTTGAATCAACACATTATTACACAGATAGCAATATCTAGGCTTTTCTTTTGTTGCTTCTTGGTCAACATGGTCAAAGAATTTGCTTTCTGTGTGCCTTTATTCAGAATCAACTAGATGCCCATCTCTTTTAGTTGGCCATGTCAGGAAAGAAAACTGGCATCATGCATTAATGTAGGAAAAACTTCATTTTTTAAGTTTATGTATTTATTTTGAGAGAGAAAGAGAGCAAGTGCACACGTGTGTGTCCTTGAGTGGGGGAGGGGCAGAGAGAGAAGGAAAGAGAATCCCAAGCAGGCTCCGAGCCATACACAGAGCGCAACGCAGGGGTCAGTCTCTTGAACTGTGAGATCATGACCTGAGCTGAAACCAAGAGTTGGATGCTTAACCACCTGAGCTACCCAGGCTTCCCCAAGACATCAGTGTATTTGAACATAGACTAATTGTTTACATTTTGGTGATTCTGTTGACCTTGGGTGTTTTTATTAAGAAAATTATAGTCACTCCTTTGTTTTGAAAAATTGGAGAAATGTGTGATACTTTAGAAGTTAAGATCAATGTCTTTCTTAAAATCTATAACAAGTTGTAAAACAAAGTTGTATTTGAGTTTATACTTCTTAAACCCCTTTAGATATTTGTCAGTATTTCTACTTGATGTATTCCTTGAGTAAGATCATTTGCCTTCTAAAATACCTTCAGCAGTTTCCAGTAAACCGCAAAATTAAATCTAAACTTGATAGCCTGTACTTAAGATTTTCCAAATCTGGCCCCACTCTTATCTAGTTATAGCTTCTTAATGCAACCCACTCTGTTTCCTTTCGTTCTCTCCAGCTGCCTTAGGACTGGGTAAAGCTAAGTTGAGTATTTCTTTATATACTGTAAAGTTGCAATTAGCTAAAACGAAACAGCTAAAAGAAATGAGATTTAAGCAGATTGACCATGCTTAAATCAGTTATGTCTTCACCACAAGCTCTTTCTTACCACAGGCCTTCAGACTTGCTGCCTAAGATACTTTTGTCCCAGAGAGCCACTCCTCTTCAGTTTCTGTAAAAAGACACTCCACTAGACAAGCTTTTCTCAACTGCCCCATCTAAAATAGGAGCCCACACATACACTCCTGCCGTCTGTCCTGAGACCCAGGAAAATGCCTAGCTCATATTTATTTAATGTGTAACTAGTTTTCCTTCATGAAATGCTTTTTTTTTTTTACCTGGTTAATAACTATGCATCCTTCAACTCTCCGCTCCTGTCACTTCCTCTAGGAAGCTTTCTAACTATTTGAGCCCCCCATGATAGTCTTACGTAGCACTATTAACCTTTATTTACCTTACAGTACTTGTCATAGTTACACCTTTACTTATTTGTGTCACTATTTTACTAATACCACTTTCTCTCACTGCACTGTATATAATAATAAAATAATAGCAATGGTGGCAAACACTTGTAGTACCTACCGTGTGCCAGGCATTGTTCTAAGTTCCTCACAACAGCTCTGTGAGGTAGGCATTATTATTAGTCCCACTTTACAGATGAGGAAACTGAGCCACAGGGAGGTTACGTAACTTGCTGCCACAGCCAATAAATAGTAGAGCTGGAATTTTAACCTAAGGTATCTGGCTCCAACATCTAACAGTGAACGTATTGAGTTGATTCGTTAATTAATTCATTAGCAAGAGATCCCATCCAACCTTGAGATTCTAAGGTCTATTTTGAAATAATTACCTAATGTTTTGTGCTTATTTAACCATTTCATTTGTGTGTATTTTACCTATCATTGGGGGGGAGGGGAATTGTATCCGTCAAAATCAAAGCATTCAATATTCCTAAGAGCTTTTAGAAATGTGTATGGAGGTCAGTTTTTGGTGTCACCCGGAATGTGGGATGCTACTGGCCTATAATAGAGGTCAGAAATGTTAAACATTCTCTAATACATGGAACAGTTCCAAACAAGGAAGAATTGTCCTATCCAAAGGGCCATCATAAGCCCATTGGGAAACACTAAAAAGATGAACCATATCTCTGGCAAGAAGAGACAAGAATGGGGGTGGATAGGGAAGCGAATTGACATTTATTGAATGCCTTAATACACTTAATATTTGTTTTATCTTTTAGCCTTCACAACTATGAGGTATTATTTCTTTAATACAAATGAGAAACCTGAGACTCAATGAGGTTAAGTAACTTGTCCAAGGTCACAGAGGTGAGGCATAGGTGCTTTGTGGAACTTGGCTAGTCAGAAGGTAATTCTTCTGGATGGAACCTGACTGTTGGAATCAAAATGACCATCCTTCCCTCTTCAGCATTCTATTTTTGGGGAAAGACAGAGTCCTAAAAAGGGAGTGCTGTGTCCAGTGTCTCCTGCTTTTAGATTACTTCGGCCTTCTTTGAATTCTTCCCAAAAGTGTATGGTTTTATCATTGTTGATATTCATCCCATTTTAAAATAACAAAATATTGGGGCATCTGGCTGGCTCGGTTGGGCAGCCAACTTCGGCTCAGGTCATGATCTCACAGTTTGTGAGTTTGAGCCCTGCGTCGGGCTCTGTATTGGCAGCTCAGAGTCTGGAGCCTACCTTGGATTCTGTGTCTCCCTCTCTCTCTACCCCTCCCTTGCTCACGCTTTGTGTCTCTCTGTCAATAATAAATAAATGTTAAAGAAAAAAATTTTTAAATAACAAAATATTTTCTTCTAACCTTCCCCCTCCCCCACACCATTTCTTGGCTCACTTTTGTATTATTATTACCTGTGTTCACTGAGTCTTCTCTCATCAGGTTTTTGTCCCGTCTTCCCATAGAACTTTTCTTCTAATCGACTTCCATGTTACTAAATCTCATGGTTACTTCTTAGTGTGTACTTTATGTATTAGCAGTATCTAACACAGTTGATGATCCTGTCCTTCATTTAAAGATTCCCCAAAATCTTAGTGACATTTGAAACTCTAAAAACTATTAAAAGCTTCAGAGAGCATTAGGACTCTGAGGACAAACTGTACTTTTTTAACTTGGGTTCTATCCGCCTTGACATTTCTAGATTTCTAGATCTTCCAACACTCAGGCCAAGAACTTTGGAGTTATTCTTGAATCCTATCTTTCTCTCATACTGCACATCTATCAGGAAAATCTATTGTCTTTACCTTCAGAATACATCCAGAATATGACCGCTACCTGCTTCTGAGTTGACAGCATCATCTCCTGTTTATATTACTAAAATGTTCTAACTAGTCTCTATTCCTTATAGTGTGTTATCTACGCAGTAGTCAGAGTGAGCAGATTATATCACAAAACAAAAAATTAAATGACACACACACAAAACCCTGATAAATCTCTCTGCCTGAAGTATAAGTCAGACCCTGGGCTTCCACTTAGACTGAAACACTATTGTTAAACCACATACAACCACAGCTAGGCTGCCCAAAAACCAAGCTTTGGCTTTCACAAGAACTTCAGCACTATTTTAGTTTGGGTTATGGGAATGGACAGGAAAAGATCTCTCAGAATCATCATGGTAATGAAGGGAAAGTCTTGGCTTTTGAACTATTTTTAATAAAAGTGATCTTGGCTGCAAGCCTGTTGGCAGTGGAAATTGATACATCCAGACTCTTCTCTACCTGTATCTTCACAAACCCCTGTGTTTAAAAATAGTTACAAGGATGCCTCAATTAGTTAGCCCAGGCATGAAGGTGATAAAGATGGCATATACACGATGATGTGTTCAGAGATCCTAATCTGCTCTGTAATTCTATAAGTCTACTGTACGTCAGTGATGGTAGGTTTAAAAATTGTCTGATTGGAGTGCCTGGGTGGCTCAGTCAGTTAAGCATCCGACTCTTGATCTCGGTTCAGGTCCCAATCTCATGGTTCATGAGGTTGAGCCCCATGTTGAGCTCTGCGCTGAGCATGGCGCCTGCTTAGGATTCTCTCTCTCCCTCTCTTTTTGCTCCTCCCCTGCTTACGTGCTTGCATGTGCGTGCTCTCTCTCTCAAAATAGATAAACTTCAAAAAAATTTTGGCTAGACTGTCTCACATAAAATTAAATAGTAAAAGTGAAGATAAACTAACAAAGATCAATAATTTGGAAACCTCAATTATCCAGAAAATAACCTAGAATCTAAAAGTTAAAACTAAGAAAAAAAATTAAAAACATTTTAGATTTTCTAACGTGTTTATTCATCAAATAGTTATACAGTCTACCATGTGTCAGGCACCGTTTTAGGCTCTTGGAACATTATCAGTAATCAAAACAGATTTAAAAAAATGCATGCCTTTAAAGAGTGCATAGTTTACCTGGAAGAGAGAAAATAAACAACAAATACAATAAATAGGTAAAAAATACATACTATTTGGAGTTGGTAAGTGTTTGGGGGGAAAAAGCTGTATAAGAGTAATTAGGCATTGGTTTGGTAGTTTTAATAAGTCATGAGGAGGGCAACATTTGAGCAAGGACTTGAAAGAAGCGAGGGACTTAGTCATGCAGATATTGAGGGAAGCATTTTGTAATAGAATGGCTAGTGGAAAGACCATATTGGGGTGCCTGGTGTGTTAGCTGGAATGGAGGGAACAAAGGGAAGATCAATAAAATGGGAAATTAAGACCATTTAGAGAACTTAAACATGTACTCTGAATAAAATAACGACTGGAAGGTTTTGAACCAAGGAGTGAAATATACATTGTATTTTTTAAATGTACGTATTTCCAGTAACATTTACCAGGTGAGTAGAATAGAATTATTCATAGTTTTTTTAGTGACTGCTACATTCCAGTCATATTATAATAGAATTAATATTAATACTTTATTTTCCTTTTTAATTACAGAGAAATATTCAGGCTTTCACATAAACACAAGCAAGATAGTCAATAATGTCTGTCACCGAGGAAGACCTGTGTCACCACATGAAAGTAGTTGTTCGTGTGCGTCCTGAAAATACAAAAGAAAAGGCAGCTGGATTCCATAAAGTGGTCCATGTTGTGGATAAGCATATCCTAGTTTTTGATCCCAAACAAGAAGAAATCAGTTTTTTCCATGGAAAGAAAACTGCAAATCGAGATATTACAAAGAGACAAAATAAGGATCTCAAATTTGTATTTGATGCTGTTTTTGATGAAACTTCAACTCAATTGGAAGTTTTTGAACACACTACTAAGCCAATTCTTCGTAGTTTTTTGAATGGATATAATTGCACAGGTAATTATTTCAGTTAGAGTTTAATTTTTCCACCTGATTTCAGTTTTACATTAGAATGTACATCAGCTTGGCCCATTCTTCTAAATATAATCAATTTTAAGGTGCTTTTTGCTAAAAATTATTAAGTTCAGGAGTATTTCGCTGTAAATGTAGACTTTCTTTGAAATTCAGTTATCACGTGCTCACTTCGGCAGCACATATACTGAAATTCAATTATCACATATAACATATCTTGAAACTCTCTCTTCTAGAGCTTTGCTATGGTCCCTTTAGGCAGTCATCTTCTCAGTTTCCTATGTTATTAAACCACACATGTCTTGTAATTGATGCCAGATTTCTCACAATTTAATTCATTAGTATTCTCTCCGCTTACCTATACAACGATCTATCCCTGGGGAATAGTTGGACATTTCATTTATAGTACCTTGAAATAAAAATGTTAAAAGGCCATGTTAATTGAGTACCATGTGCTATTTCAGCATATCTTCAGCCCAGAAAGCATCTCTAGTGTTCTGGATAGATCTCTAATTTGCCTTTCAAAACAGCCATGTTCATTTCCTAGAGAGAGATCCAAAAAGCCAGTTAATTCAGTGTTTCTAAGGCCCTTAACACTATTATTTATATCTTATTTTTGTAATTACCACCATTTATGACATTTTCTTTGAGATACCCCAAAACTGTAACATGTTTCACTATCTCTGACTCATTCAGTTTTATTACAGAAGACTTACCGTCTTGGTCAAATAAGAATAGAATGTGGTTTATTGATTAGAACTGCTGTGATTCTCATTTTTAAGTGTATATTTTCCTCATTCATGAAACTCCATATTGTCTCTAGAGATTTTTAAAATTTTTCTTGACTCCAAATGAAAAAGTCTCCACCAAGCAAATAGTGAATCTCTGTTTTCTTCTTGACTTTGTTTTACACTATGATCCAACTGTCTTAAGACTTCTCAGTTTACCACTAGCTTACATAATATAGAACAAAATGAAACGTGTCAGTTCAATTAATTCTGTTGAAAAGTATTTTAGTAGTTTGTTAATATTTGGTTTAGCAGGGAAATTTAACTTATAAAAATATTCTTACCAGTAATAATATGAGGACTTAATTGTCTTAATTGATTATTATGTCAGGAATTGCCATATGTAATTCAGAGTAGCTTTTTGTTTTTTGTTCTTCAAACATCACTTTTATGTTATGCTAGAGAGAATTGTGAAAACAAAGTAATTTGCCTAAAACAAATTTTATTTTTTTTAATTTTTTTTTAATGTTTATTTATTTCTGAGACAGAGAGAGACAGAGCATGAGTGGGGGAGGGGCAGAGAGAGAGGGAGACACAGAATCCAAAGCAGGCTCCAGGCTCCAAGCCGTCAGCACAGAGCCCAGCACAGGGCTCGAACTCACAAACCGTGAGATCATGACCTGAGCCGAAGTCAGTCACTCAACTGACTGAGCCACCCAGGCGCCCCTAAAGCAAATTTTAAAAAGGAATTTTATAAATGGCTTCTATTGGAATTCATTTATTCAGCAAACTTGCAGTGGATATCTGCTTTGTTTCAGCTGATTCGCTATTTGTGAAGGATACACAGTTTCAGACTTAGAGCTTACAGTTGGAAATACAGGGTGATACAGGCTAGAATAGAAGGATGTGCAGCATACACTGAGAACTCAAATGAGGGAGTACACATATCTGCCTGTGACATGGAAAAGTGACATGTGTGCTGAATATTTAGAACAGGTGTAAGTGTTCCAGCTGGATTAACTGGAGGAACTCTTCAATGGAAAAGCAGTGGAGTAGATAAGGAGCAGCACATGTGGAGAACGTCACACAATCTAATATGCCTAGACCACAGCAAGGAAGGAATAGGATAGAGAGAGGGCTTAATAATATTAATATTCCAAGTGGAGGAATTTCTACTTTCTCATATAGGACTGTGGAACAATTAAGGAGATTTAACATATTCGATTTTGTTTTCATAAAAATAACTGTACAAAATTCTAAGAGATGAATTAAAGAAGATTGAGACTAGGTGGGGATACTGATAACTGATTAAAGGTTTTAAGAGTGCTGTAGAGGAAAGGGAGCAGATGAGCTGGGGCGGGGGGGGGGGGGG